GTTCAGCTTTCTTGCCAATCTCCAGGACAGACATCAACTCCTCGAACTCGGCTTTTGGAACAATGCCGCCGCTAGCTTCCTTATGGCCCCTGGCAAATGAGTCGCCTAGCCGCTCCCTCAAAGTCGTGTCCTCGGCGCGAGCAGCGACATCCCGCAAAACCTCAATGATGTTGACTGGCGGCTCCTTGGCTCGGGCACAGCGCGGAACACGACATGAAAAGTTGACCATATCGGGCAGATATCCTTCGTTGGCAACCAACACAACCTCGAGCTTGGATGAGGACAGATGTCCCGCCCAGCGTGTGGCGATGACGGGGTGGACTTGGGCCTCTGAGCTGATGCGGAAGACGGCGATGCGGCCGTCGGCGGAAAACTTGGGGGGCGTGTGGGTGCAGCGCTCGACTTCGGCGTTAACCTCTGCTCTGGCGGCCAGCAGGGACTTGTTGCTCACCAGCTCTTTTGGAGAATTCGAGGCACGGAGGGCTTTCCAAGCAGAAGGAACGTCATACGAGGCTGTTCGTCTCGGGGCATTGATGAGTGATACGGCGTCGTTGAGAGCCTTTTTGGTGTATGTTTTGAACGTGGGCTTCATGTCGGGAAACGGAGGCTCCCACTTCAAGGTATTTCCCAAGTCTCCATGGGTACCCATGACGCAAAGCCAGTCGCAAGCCTCTCGCACGCTCTCGTGGAGACTTCGACAGATGAGGTACGTGAGTAGAGAGCTTGTCGCCACTGGAGGGGAGTCGCAGGCTGTGACATGCAACGCATCCTTTGGGTGGTCGTTTGTCATTGCGTGATGATGATCAATGACTATACCGTGATGGAAGCCGTCGATGAGAGGTGGCGAAGAACGAGAGCCTTGGTCTAGGACGAAGATGTAGGTGGGCTTGAGAGAAGTCATCTCTGCCCGGCACGCTTCGTCGTGGATGTTATGGCCCTTTGGGGGCAAGTACGCAGTAATGAGAGATGGATCTAGGCCAAGAAGAACTAGGGTACGTTCCAAGATGACCCCAGATGTGAGGCCGTCGGCGTCCTTGTCCGGGACAATCAATGTGGGCTTTCCGGCAGAAACACTAGTAGAGTGTCAGTATGAGACTGAGAGAAATCACCAGGCGACACATTTACGAGTCCAGCAGTTGAGCTCGCGGATTTCCCAACCGTACCATTCGCGAATGAAGGATCTCGCCGCTTCGATCTTACTCTCTGGCGCGGGCCACACAATTTCGCCGTGATCATCCCTTACCGAGGGTGTCAAATGATAATCGGGTACTGCCGGCCGTGATTTCTTGACATTTTGACTTCCACTGGAAAGGTTTGCAGCTATCGCAGTGCGTTTCATAGTGAGGAGATTGCTGGGCACAAAGTAATTGCTGGCTGGCCTCATGCGACTATCATAGACATAAAACGTAGCTCTTGATCGTGGCCTACATTTACTTAAGTGCATGGCTAGGTATGATAAGGTAGTGGTGGCGAGGCTGGGACCTTTTGTCAGAAGGAAGCTGTTGTCACTCGTCACACTTCAATCTGTGGTCACAGTGCAAGCTCGAGCATGTCGTCATAGAACAGCCGCGGTTCCTGGATCGACGCTTTCCACCACAGTGTATGTTTTTTGCTAGTGGGCACACTTCACACCGTCCTGCAATGGCCAGAGTCGCACACGTTATTGCGGCAACGGTGCGTACATGTAAAATCACAAGCGATGATGCGTGGACCGTTCGGATTTCTACCGTATTCATTTATGACCTTTCTTTTTACATTTCAACTTGCCATATGTTCACTTACCTTAGATACTGGCTTATCTAAGCCCTTGTATTTATCGCTTTCCTTACCTTATATAATCGCGCCAGCAGGATGTACGGAGGGCTAGAATGGAGGAAAAAGCATGACATATCCCGTAGAGCGGCTCTCATGTCCAGTTCTCCTTCCTCCCAGCATCTGTCATCCGAAAGGAGTTTTTTTTTTCCACGAAGAGGAGCCTGCGCAAGCTGTGACTCTTGTCTAATAATACGCCGGCTGCAAGACCACCATAGCTGCTCATGATAAATGGACAAAAATGAATGAAGTTGCCATATCGTAAATCGATATTGTGATTGAAGACAGAACTCCGTATTCGATTGGCGAAGCAGGTTGCCCCGTAATTGCTCATTCGCTGAAGGGACAGTCATCGACTGTGAATTCATGTCAGGGCCGAGGGAAGAGCTCGAGAAGGACAAAATTATGATTTGGCAATGCTGACGTAAAACGCTGGAATAATATTTCTTGTGGTATCCTGATTTCTAAAGTAAAACAAAACCGATATAAGTGCAGAATCCTGGAGGAAATCATAGAGCAGTCTAGGCTTCAACCATAATCAAGTGTGATAAACAGCAACATATTCAACCTCGTACGTTCCGCCAGACAAAGTGGTACTGATAGGTGTCTTCTTTCCGTAAATGGCATCGGGGAAAGATCCGCCAATGGCCATATTGAGTAGAATGAAGTGCGGCTTTTGTACAGTCCCCTTCCAGGTGGCTGCTGGCATCTGTGACTGAAGAACCTGGTGGAACTGAACGCCGTCCACATACCAGCGAAGCGCTTCTACAGACTTTGATCTGTCGACCTCTACGGTAAAGGTATGAAAGTTACCGGCACAGGAACTTCCAGGGCAAGAACGATACCCGCTGAGGCCAGATGGCTCATTGCAAGCGCCACCAGGCTGGGTGCCGCAGTGCAAGACGGCATAAGCGCGGTCAAGATTGTTGATATTTTCCATGATATCGATCTCACCAACTGCCGGCCAGTTCCTAGACAAGATGGGTTAGACTGAAGGTCTAGGGTAGGCCGGGGGTGAAAAGCTTACCAGTAGTTGCCACGATATTCAGCGCCCAGGGTCCAGAACGCGGGCCAGTAGCCAATACCAGCGTTGGTTCCTAGATTAGGGATTTTCAGACTAGCCTGGATCCGCATGGTCTTCCCTGGCTGCGCCATGAAATTGGCTCTGCGAGTCTCAATCCTCCCGGAAGTCCATGCTCCCGTGGAAGGGTTCTTGATGGCGGTGATCTGAAGATTCCCAGCGCCATTGACTCGGATATTGTTGGGGCTGTTGGTGTATGACTGGATTTCCGATGTGCCCCAATTTGCTGGGCCGCCGGGATAACTGGTCCCAGTGTCGATAATCCAGTTATTCTGGTCTGGAACTGTGTTGGCTTTGCCGCTGAAATCGTCATACCACACCAAGGTGAAACCGCTGACTTTGGGTATTTGGGCTTGAGACGTTGACAGCAGAGCCAGCAAAGCTGCGGCGGTGCTAATGGATCTCAACATGATTGAGGAAGTGACCGGGACGTGAATGGAATGTCGATCAATTTTACCGGCTAGAAGTTACTCCTGCGAGTGTGAGGATAAACAAAAGGTGCCGCTGCGCAAAACAAAAACGCCAATGAGACGATTTCACAATTGAAGGAGTGTCGTGGAGAGGATTCCGGAGAGTGTCACACGATGCTTCGAAGAGGTGACCAACGTGAATGTATTATACTCAATGGCGGTGGGGTCAAGGCCAACTCACGAGATGGTCTAGATGTAGCTTCATCAGCTCTTTTCGGGATGCAGCACCGGCTCGCTGCGTTCCTATGGGAGATTTGTTGACGGCAGGGCCCAGAAGCGAAGCCAGACAAGTCCAGCCTCCGATCCCAAGCCCATGGTTCCAAGCTAGGCACACTTCTCGGCCACCCCACGGAGAATACTGGTGTGGGCTCGCATGGTATGTGAAAGAAATGAGACTAGATCAGCTAGACGCAAAGCGGTAGCACTGAGACATCTGGTCGAGATCAGATAAGACGCTGTTACCAATGCGGCTGTCAGCTGCGGAAAGACTGGCTTGGCTGACCAATAACTCTGCACATCCTGGCAGCCTAGCACTCGGGCTATGCAGGACGAAAGAATCTCATGCTCAGCCGCGCTTGCTCCATGTCGAGTTTGGAAATACTCATCGCGGTGGCAATTCCCTCCCCAAGGCTGGATGTGGTTCGCCATCAACCATTGGGACACCAATCAGTGCCCTTCATCCCTTAAATCTTTCATGAAGATGGGATTCTAGGAAAGTATTCTTGAATCGGCAGAATTCTCAAACACACTAGATTATGGGAGCAGTAAACGTGGCTGAGGATAATAACGTCGCAAGATAGATGCAGTGTCCTCGTACGTCGGTTAGATCGCGGACGTGTGTCAATGCAGTCGGCCTATAAAGTCGCTTTGCGTAATTCAAGGAGGTAATGAACATAGTATGGAATTACTCTTTCAAACAAAGTCTACAGGGCCATGTTACCAATTCGCTAGAGTCTGTCAAACCTACCAAAGCCTTGAAATCGGAGTGTTGATGGCTTGAACCACCGTCGTGCTTGTTCGTCCAGCCTGAGATCACAGAGTCTTTGGTAAAACTCCAGCCGCGGCCCCATCCTCAGCAAATCTGACAGCGAAAGTGCATCGCCGAAGCTGAGCTTGTTTTCTTCCTTTCCTTTCGGATGAAATTCTCCGACAACATCCTGATCCTTGCTGGCATATTGAGGTACACGTTTTGCTTCCACGTGGGCATCGGAACCTGGCACGAAGATTGTGAAGACCAATTAAAACACCCACGACCATAGCGGCAAGACCCCACACAAATGAACACCCTCATTGGTCTTGAACATCTCCGGCTGATTGGGAGGTTCGTCCGGAAGAGGGAAAGCCTTGTAAGCCCATTGCAGGAGCTCCACTTCCAGAGGATGAAGGAGTTGGACAATCCCTTGACACACCCTTGGCAGTTAGCAGGATGCAACAACAACAATTTCGTCTGAGATTCCATCAACGTCCTTCACTCAAACTCATCTTCTATCTATACAGATTATTTCGAACGAAAGTTGTACCTTCCATCTGGCTGAAATACGTCGACTAAAGAACCTGACGCGTCAGCCGCTCCATACTTCTCAAGTTCCGCAATGCATGCTTTGGAAAGGGAACCACAAATGATTGTCTCGGCACCCATGCTTCATTCCTCGGAAGCACAATGCCGGGATGATGACTGGACTGGTCTTCGTGATCGAGCGGAAAGACGCAAGAGACAAAATCGCCTCAATGTCAGAGCCTACAGTATGAGGCCACCCAACCAGGCTTAGCACTACTGAGAGATTGCTGACGCGGCTCACAGGAAAGCGAAAGGCTCTCGAATTGCATCAAATTGGGCAGACGGAAACATCAACGCCTGATATGTCATATGAGTCTTCTAACAAAGAATCACGACCTAATCTGAGCTCGGGAACAAGTCTAGATTTTATACAGTGGGCTCCACCGGGACAGCCTGCAGCTGAAGCACACCGCTGTTCAAATCCTCGTTCTGAAAGAGATGAGAGCCAAACTCGCCTGCGTGTCGCTGCGAAGGGGCTTGTGATATTTGCACAGATACAGCGACCTGCACGCAACCACAATAATGGCAAATCGCGCTTAGGAAGGCGTGTGCCGCCTTACTTCCAGAATCCCACTACATGGCTCCCTCTGTATAAGGATCACCTCATCCCGCTGGTATTTTACAATGTCTTCAGGGCTACCATTACCAACATTCATATCCTATCTCTCACGTCTCTGCTCACTAGCCCATGCACACCGGACCTTCACACAACACCACTATTTCCAACACCTTGTCAAGTGCCAGAGACTTTGATGCCTACTCCCACGCAAAGCTCGACACCCCACGAATGTTGGATCGACATTTTCCCATCGGGTGGCATGCGCGATAACGCTATCAAGTTCCGTGATCAGTACAGCCAGCATGATCTTTGTGCTGACTTAGTGGGCTGTCAAGAAGGCGATGCCTGTCTTAATCAACCGGGAATCATTGCTTGGTCAGACCCTTGGCATCCTGATGGTTGGGAGGTCACAGAAAGGTTTGTCGAGAAATGGGGCTTTTTACTCAAGGGTTGTGAGGATGTCATGAGAGCGACCAACAAATGGCGCGCAATGAGGGACGAGGAACCGCTTGTATGGGAGCTGGAGTAATCTTTTTTGTCGCTGGACTCTTCATGGCCGCAGATATTGCGCCATGTCTGCACATGATGCTTTGTTCTATGAATTCGTTGATCATGCATTGATTTTGATAATCGAACAAAGATTTGCGAAGCAACCAGCAGTGTCCATACCACATCTACCCCTGACCTATGACGCATGGTCAGTAGACATATCTAAACTGGGGAATTTCCTTGTCCGTTTTATCAAGTAGGTTCAGAGACACATCATTTCCAACGCCTGCGTCAAGCTCCCCTCCAATGCTGTCGCGTCGCTTATTTTCCCACACTAGATAGTAACGAAGGACGAAGCACATCAGGACTCCAAGACTATAACATATCAACATGGCTAAGAAACCAGAGCTGTAAGACGGTGCTTCCCACTCGAAGAATAGTTGCGGACCGATGATGTTACCAGCACAGTAGGCGATGAAAATCTGTTGAACTCAAATCAGTCTCAGACCCACTGACAATGGGAATGTCATACGTACCATCGCATTCACTGTAGTCTTTTTGGTGAATCCGCCAAAGTTTCCAGAAGACATGGACAGGATCATGGGGAAATTGGCACTGTACGCGATCGTCAGGCAGTACCCCATAAACCGTGCCCACTTGAGTTCTGATTGTATCTGGCGAACCATGGCAGCACCAGCGATAGAGATGGCAAGATTTAGTGCCATCCAATAGGTGCGACTATTGCGGAAGTAGGTGCTTCCTCCAGTGGCCATCAAGACAAATATGAGCTGAAAGACCGACCCCAGCATCTGCACAAGGAGGGTGTTGAGAGTGCTGAAGCCCATTCCTTTGATAACGATGGAACCGAACCCATGGACGCCACCATTGGCAATCTGGGCGCTGATCTGAATACCGAAGAGTAGCCAAGCTTTGATGTCGGTCAAGGCCTCCACGCACTGATACAACTTGAACATGTCACTTTTGATTCCCGTCATGTTTTCCTCGACACGCTCAATGGCCTTGATACGATCAGCTTCGCTGAGAAATCGAGCCTTCATCGGCGTGTCAGGTAAGAGGAAAAAAATTGCAAATGACCAGGCTGTAGTGATTCCGCCAAAGATAAGAAAGACGGCCTGTACTCGCAGGAATCAGCAACTTATTCGCTGGCGGATTGTAGATGAAGTAGATACCTTCCATGGAGCTATACTATCAACGTGACCGATAGCATAGGCAACAACTCCCCCGAAGATGCCGGCAACAGTGTTGCCAAGGAACCAGGCGCCATGTCGTAGAGGCTGCTCTGAGCGTTTGTACCACATGGAGATAACGATACTGAGGCCCGGCGCGATGGCGGCCTCGGAAACACCCAGCATGATTCTGTTTGCCAATAAACCACCAGCGTTGGAGCAAAGCGCAGTGAACATGAGAATAATTCCCCAAGCAAGACTTTGCAGGTCAGTCGTGCATCTTAGCTTCGTCGGCTAGGGAAAAGTGCTTACACCGAGACCGCAATCATCTTGCCGACAGGAAGTCTGACCATCATGACTCCTGCAGGGTACGAAGCAATAAGGTAACCAAAGTAGTAGATACTACTTGCCCAAGAGTACTCGGACCCATTTAGATGCAAGTCATCCCGCAAGCCCATGATAGCCGTGTAGCTAAGAGCAGATTTGTCAAGAAATTGGAAAAGGTACGACATGGCCATTACTGGTAAAAGACTGTGGCTTGAAATTAGGATATATCTCGGCGTAGGAGAGGTTGATTGAGGACTCCGTAATTACCATAAATCGATCCTTCGGAGAATCCTCTTGTCTTCGCTGTAAGCCAGACCTCGGATCGAGGTGGTGCCTTCGCCAATATCTTTCAATGTCTCATCGGCTGGGCCTAGGCCTAGATTAGGCTTGCCACCTTTCTCTGACATATTGAAGGTAAGGATGAATGAATCGCGAGCGGTAAAGGAGAATACGCAATTCTGCAGGAGGTTAACGATGAGAGCCCCCGTGAACTTTAGTGAGGAAGCAAATTCGATAAGCGAATAAGGTCATGCTATTTATGCGCCGCCTTCTGGAAGCTCGTCGTTCCAATCAGTTCAAGCTTAGACGCAATTGGCGCAGCCCTGTTCACTCAGATGGCAGTGCGGCCTCGGTCAAAGCCTCGTGAAAGTGCCGGAATTGGCCACTTGCGATGATATTGTGGGGTTGATAGTAAAGTCATCGCGGAACCAACAACTGTCTGGCCGGAAGTCGTGTTCCAATACGATGCCTCTGACTAGTGGCTGATCAACTTGTCACTGATAGCCGACGCAGCTCTGGGGGCATGGACATTAGCCGATCCACATGTCCGCCGTGCCGGCCCATGTCATATTCCAACGATGCGGGGAAACATGCCGGACTCTAGTTTTGAAGGAACATGGCTATCGCGGCCGTCGACGCTACTCAAGCCTGCTTGGGGGAACCGGACAAACACCGAACTCATACTGGTGACTCAGATAACAAAGAGGCCCACTTCGCCGGATTGGAAACGCTCACGAACGTCTACCCGTCTCGCAAGATTGTTCTGCATCTCTATGATGTCCTTGAGAAAGACATGGGCCCTGTCGAGGTTCTTACTGAATCGACTCATAGCCTGAAAGCGGCTGATAACCCATTCGCGGTGCAGTAAGTCGTCTGTCTCCAGAGCAACCATGAAGAGTGGCCACGCAATGCGTGTCATGGCCTCATCGCCTTCATGCTTGAAGGCCTGGAAAGCCAGATTCATGATTTCTCGCAAAGCGTTTCGTTGACGAGCTGAGAGCATTGGCGTGGCATCAAATCGCGTCAAACGAAGAAATTCAAGAACGACGGCATGATAGTGAGGTACAATGCCGCGAATGTTGGCTACTAGCCGATGTGAGTTATTCGTGCTGATGGAAAGCTCTGCTGCGACCTCCAGTAGTTCGGTGAATTTCCAACCCACTTGTTGAATGGTCATATCAACAGCCATGACGCGGTGTTGCTGCGAGGCATCATCTTCATGTATGAGATTAGCGAGCTGGGCAATCATAAAGCGCAATTGGCCGCATGCTCCCAAAAGAGCATAAACATTCCTATTCTCCACATCGTCAAGAAGCTCCGCTTGGGGGTATGAATCAGCCCACATACTCCGGTAAAGTGGATTGGAGAAACGGTGTAACCTCTCGAAGGCGTCGAGCGGTTGAAAGGGGCTGGATATTCCACTGCTAACTTGGCCATCGAGGGCACCCATGATTTTGTGGAGGGCGCAGTTGAGTTGTCCGCCAAGGCCGTATGAAGCGGCAGCGGCATCATGTAGCGCGATCCAAACAAGCATTCTTGCCGAGTACAGAGATAGGCGGGAACCACTCGCATCTTGTCCTCGCCTCGTGAGGGCTAAGCTTTTCCGATTCGCCTCCGGTGAGGGCGCCGGTAATTGAAGCAGTAAATCCTTGAAGCGGTGTTGTAATATCAAACTCGCACCGACGAGATGATTGGACAAGCCCTGGCACTTTCCATCTCCATACTTTTGTTCATAGAGAAGCATGAGATACAATCCTGTACAGACTGCATCAAGATCCAGCTGACCATTGTCCTCACCTCCGATGGTGTCGGCCATCATTCGGAGGGCGGAAGAGTAATGCTGAATGGGCGTTTTTGGGCCACGCGCCTCTTCTGCATTTTTGTTGCGCCGGAACTCCAGCTCCCGCCCCCCAAGAGCAAGTACCACATGCATGACCATAGCATCGGTCTGGGCAATGTCGAACATGATGGAGTACAGCGAGTAATCCGGATTCTTGGTGTGGTTCTGTTTGGCGAATGATGTGCGAAAGTACCGGATTGCCTCGTGATCAGCCGACGAAAGATCGAGTGAGCAAGCCCCCATCCCCGGAGCCGACGGATTAAACAAAGATAGAGCCTTGGACTGATCGAGCTGAGACATTGTCTGCACCCATGTCGGCAAGCTGAGTGACGTGCCAACTCCTCCAGCCGACGAGGAAGACGATGACGAGTCGGGGTGAGACGAAAAGAGCCGATCTTTGCGTGTCTTGCCCCTCTTCGTAAGCTTGACGCGAGGTGCATAGTCGCAAAGAAGCCGCAGACGTGTGCAACGATGACAATTTGGCCGCTGCTCATCACATTTGACCTTCTTTGTGCGACAAGTCCAACACCCATTTCTCGAACGTGGTCCACTCCGACCCTCGCCCGTGCGCGCCGCCGTCGCCGCTGCTGCGGACGCGGTGGTACCGACAAATCCGGCGGCGTCTAGGGGGGGCCGTTCATCGGTAATAATGGGGAGACCGTCGGCTGAAACCGAGCTTGTGCTGCCGGGTGAGCTCCCGTCGGCTTCGGAGGGAGAAGCGCTCATTGGTAGTGTCTAACCAACTGATTCGAGGTCGGCTGTATCGGCGAGTAGAGACTTCCAACTGAAGCACTTGAGTGGGGATCGAGGGCTAGGGTGTTCACCGAACTCCCAAATGAACAACGTTACTGCGTAGGCGCGTCTGGGGAAAAGAGGATAATTCGAGTGGAAATTGTGGATGATATGACTGAAATGCCTCCGGCGCGCCGCCGCTGGAACTCATGAAGGATTGAATTAGCCGACGAGGGAATACGGAAGTGGAACGAGAATTTCATAATATCAGCAGAAGGAAGGGATGATAAGAAAAGCTGACTGACAGATTGAAAGCAAGGCACGGAGTAATGAGCTTAGCCATTAGCAATACCGTGTGGTGAGTAGCGGTTAAGTCTCATCGAATGGAAACAAACCAAAATTGCCGACCATCGGCTATCTTCCGTGCCTATCTGGAAATTGTCAAGACTGGAGGGTCTCCTGGTCGGCTGGCTAGAAGCACCGATTGCCGATGGGTGGCACCCCCGTCTCAGCTGCGGAGCGCAAGCTCTCCACACCAGTGCGCAGGAGATGTCTTGACGGGAACAAATGAACGTGTTGGAGTTAGGCCTTTAAAACATGTTGATGAGCAGTCAATGATTTTGAAGAGCAGTATACTTCACATTCATCGAGGAGGCTCCTCCATCTCGAATTCTA